TTCAGTCTGGAAGGTAAGTTCTACTCCTTAACTCTCCCTAAACTCATATTTCCAAAATAGTCAAAGGATGTGAGCAGGCAGTTTTCAGATGAACAAATTAAAGCCATCTATAGTCATATGAAAAAATGCTCTAAATCTCTATTGATTAGAGAAATGCAAATCAAAACAACTCTGAGGTACCACATCACACCTATAACACTGGCCAGCATGATGAAACAGAAAAAAGATAAATGTTGGAGAAGATGTGGAAAGATCGGAACATTAATGCATTGTTGGTGGAGTTGTGCAATGATCCAACCATTCTGGAGAGCAATTTGGAACTATGCCCAAAGGGCTATAAAAATGTGCATACCCTTTGACCCAGCAATAGCACTTCTAGGGCTGTATCCCAAAGAGATCATACAAATGGGAAAAGGACCCACAGATACAAAAATATTTATAGCAGCTCTTTTTGTGGTGGCAAAGAATTGGAAATTTAGAGGATGCCCATCAGTTGGAGAACAGCTGAACAAGATGTGGTATATGAATGTAATGGAATACTACTGTGGTGTAAGAAATGATAAGCAGACAGACTTCAGAAAAACATGGAAAGACTTGTATGGACTGATGCTGAGTGAAGTGAGCAGAACCAGGAGAACACTGTACACAGTAACAGCCATGTTGTGTGATGACTAACATTGACAGACTTAGCCCTTCTCAGCAATGCAAGGATCTAAGACATCTCCAAAGGTCTCATGATGGAAAATGCTATCCACATCTAAAGAAAGAGTTTGGAATGGAGTTTGAATGCAGATTGAAGCATACTATTTGCTATTTTTTTCTTGTGTTTTGTTTTGTTTTCTCTTTCTTGTGGTTCCTCCTACTGGTTATAATTCTTCCTTACAGCATCACTAATGTGAAAATATGTTTAACAGGAATGTATATGTATAACCTATATCAAATTGTGCACCATCTTGGGGAGAGAGGGGGAGAAAAATTTAGAATTCAAAAGCTTATGGAAGTGATTGTTGATAAATCAAAACAAATTAATAAAAACAAAGCAAAACAAAACAAAAACAAAACAAAAAACCCCTCATATATCCAGGCAGTTTCCGAATCTTGTCATTTGTACCCCTGACATCCCTCACATATGAATGCTCATTACTCATTCAGCTTAGTTTATGCTGTCTTCACCTCCACCAGTCTCTTTCTGTTTTAATCCATATTCAATGCTACTAAAATGATTTCCTTACGTGCAGCTCTGACCCTGTCACTCTTCTACTTCTGCTCCAGTGGCTTTCTATTTCCATGATGATAAACTATAATCTACTTGGCTTTTAAAACTCTTTATAACTTGGATCCTGCCAATGTTTCTAGCCTCATTACATGCTCCCACTCTTTCCTTATTCTACGGTCCAATCAAACTAGCTTTCTGGTCATTAGACAAAGGTAAACAATCTTGTGAAACAAAGATGCAAATGTATTAAGTTGTGAGGTTAAAGTCAGGAACCTCTTGTTTTTGTTTTAAGAAATATGATTTCAGTATAGTCAGTTATGCTGGTGGTTAGTAACTTATGAGTATCTTGTGTCATCTTAATGGGAAATCTGATTTTACTTATCTTTATTACTTATTTTGGGATTAGAACATGTGTAGAAATGCACGCAAACTACTTATGAGTCACCTTAAAGATGTTCCAATTGTTTAAAGGGATTCTGAGAGCAGTAGTCTGTGTTTATATCCATTTGAACATCCTTAATAATTGAACCAGTTTTTACTATAGACAGTATTTCATAAAATCTGTACTCTATATGCAATTTGGGATTATTATATTTATACATCTTGTTATTAAGCATCTTAAAATAATTTGTATAATGTTGAATTTAGGAATGAAAAAAATCTACTTAGCATGAGTGAGTTATATAAAGTTGTGGTTTTTCTGTGATGCATCTGTCATCAAAGTGAGATTATAATCAATACTTATTATCTAGGATATGTGATCCTTGAGAGCTGAACCCACCTGACTCTAATTATTGGAACTTGCTGTTTAAGACCTTATGGGATTGTAAATGTTATTATTATTCTGATTCTGACTCCAGGTATGATCATCAAGGAATACTACTGAGCCAATGATCCCTGAGCAGGGCCATCTCCAGTTGTCCTGATCTATATCTTGTCACTGAACCCAGATGGCTCCACAGGAGAGAGTGAGGCTGGTGACTTTGCACAACCCTCTCTCACTTAAATCCGGTTCACTTGCATGTCATGGCATCACTTCCCAGATATCGTGGTCCTCTTTGAGAATGAAGGACAAACAACAACAACAGCAGCAGCAGCATCAGCATCCCCAATTTTGTTATAAATGGGTAAGTCATTCACATCACACTCCTACCTGCTAGGTGGTTTTTTTTTTAAATTTCCTTCAAGACTCAGTTTGATCAAATATCAACTTTTACAAAGCTTGTCCTCATCTCCAGTGCAGGCTTTCCTTAAACCACCTTGTTTTTTATTTAATATTTACTTGTACACGTGTGTATTGTCTTCCCCCATTAGAAATGAAGCTATTTTAGAGTAGGGATTGTTTCATTTTTCTCTTAGTATCCCCAGAGGGACACAATCAGCCAGTTAACCATTTATTAAGCACCCATTACCTGTAAGGCACTGTGCTAAGCACTGAGGATACAAAGAAAGGAGAACAATTTCTGCTTTCAAGTTCAATCTAATGGTGGAGGCAACATGAAAACAACTATGTATAAACAGGATATATAAAGAGTAAACTGGAAACAATCAATAAAGGAAAGGCACTAGAATTAAACTTAGCACAGTACTTGGAACATAGCAGGTATTTAACAATGTCTATTGATTAAATGACTGATTGTTGAGAATATCTCCTTAAGGCTGAAATTTGGAGTTGGAGGATTGCGTCTGAATTCTGGATGCTACTTAAGACCTGTTTGACACTGGGCAAGTTGATTCCCTCTTCTGGGCCTCCCCTTTCTCTATAAAATAGAAGGGGGGGGCTGGAATACATGATCTCTAGGTGCCATCCTTCTGTACATCTGATGAATTAGGTAGGGTTCATTGAGAAAGCTAAGTTTTCATCTGGTTTTTGAAGGGGAAGTACAGAATTGGCCATAAGACATTTTAAGACCCAGAGCAACTCCTATATAGCCACATCTACACTGCAATTATTGTCTCTGCATCTGATAGTCTCCATCTTGGCTGCTGTGCTTTTGGAATGCAGCCCTCCTCACCTTCTTCTCTTAGATTTTATATCCTCAAAGCTTCCTCCCCTCAAACTCTATCTCCCACATAAAATCTTGGTGGCTAGGACCCTCCCTACCAATTGCCTAATATTTACTTTGTCTCTGTGGTTCCAAGAAACTGTATCTTGAACATCGGCCACATTCTGGTAAAACCATGTGGCAGAGGGTTTGCTAAACCAGTTGAGGATAACTAACAGGCCTGAAACTCACTGGTGAGTTAAGGGGATGTCTACCCCAAGCATGTGAAGATTTCTCCCAGAGAAAATGGGTGGATGAGAACAATTTATTCCATTGGCCATGAAGGCAGCTGAAGCAGGTGCTGTGGAGTGTTTAGAGCTTAGTTAGATATCAAATATGTCAAGGTCATCAACTACATCCTGGGCCATCACTAGTCATCTAGACTTTTGTCTTGCCACTGGACTTCCATGATTCTAGAAGAAAGAGTGAGGCTGACCACTTTGTCCAACTCTGCTTCACTTAAATCCAATTCACCCAACACCCTCTAGTATCGTTAGTCCTTTTTGAAAAATGAACGACCAGTAACTTTGTCTCTACTTAAATGTGATTCCTCCCAGTGCCCCAAAAGAAGAATAGGAGTTCTCTAAGGACAAGGGACCAGCCCAGTTTTGTTTTTGTACCCCCACAGTCTAACACAAAGCCTGGCACATAGAGGCATGGTCTGGAGTCACAAAGCCCTGAATTCAAATCCAGCCTCATACACCTATTAACTGGGTAACCCTGGGCAAGTCACTGGACTTTGGGTAGCCTCAGTTTCCTTACCTGTAAAATGAGGATAATAATAGCACCAACTTCCCAGGTAAGAATAAATGTTTGTAAAACACTTTGCAAACCTTAAAGTGCTATATAAATGCTAGCTAATAGCAGGTGCTCAATAAACGTTTACCGAATGAATGAATGACTGGTTCTCCTGCTTCCCAGGTGTTTCACAGTCACGGCCTCACGCTGCACAAGGGTTACTTTGTAGCAATACTTGCAAAAGAACAGAAAGAACCTCCTTATTAAAGAAGGGTGTGGAGTGGAAGCGCAGGTGGGACCCCCCCCAAAACTGGGGTGATGGAACCTGAGGCTCTGAAGGGGCCCCGCTGCCTAGCCCAAGCCCTGGTCCCGCTCCCACCTCCTGGGGCTCTGGAGGCTCCGCTCCTCCTCGGGAGGTCCTCAACGCGCGCGGATGAAGGCTCGTTCCCGCCAGCACCTCTGTAATCTCCCCTGGTAGAGGCAGGCACTCAGGAGCCGGAAGGTAAACAAGGCAAAAGGAGGCGGGGCATAAAGGCGGCTTTGGCGCTGATGAATGGCCATGATTGGCAGCTGCCATGTCCACGTGCTCTGAGTTTCGAATCAGCTGTCGCGATAATTCGATGTAAACACACACACACACACGCGCGCGCACACACGCGCACACACGCGCACACACACACCCATCCTCCTGACAGACTCAGGTAGGGAGAAGGGACGCCAAAGGGACCTTACCGCAGGTGGGTTTCTTTCCAAGGCCACTGAGCCAGGGTCTTCAGGGAAAACGAGCTTATTCGCCGTTGTCCTTGTCCTGGTTGTTTTCACTACCGAATCTGAGCCGAACTTACCCCCTGTGGTGTTTTCCTCCGAGCCGCTTCCCATTGGCTAAGACTTTGCTCGCTGTCGATTGGCTCCGCCGGCCCCCGGGGGCGGTGCCCGCTTTTGGCCGAAACGCCCCTGGGATTGGCCAGTCGGCGAGTTCCGCCGTAGCGTAGGTAGGAGGTGCAGTCTGTCACTCATCGAAGGGAGACTCTAAACAGTGAGCAAGGCAGCTGGAGAGCCTGGTAACCGGCGGGGCAGCCGGTGAGGGGGCATCGGGATCTGAAGGGCTGCGGAGACTGAAGGGCCGGGGCGGGACGCGGAGCGGGCAGGGTGGCCGGGCGCGCGCCGGGCTGTGGGTGTCAGGTTAGTGGTGGGAGGTTGTGCCCGGCGGCGGGGAGGGGTAGCAGTGGCCGCAGGCGCTATGGTCTAGGCTGGGAGAGGGCCCCCGGAACTAGCGAGTCGGAGGCCGAGGACCCGCCCCACCCCAAGCAGCATTGGGGTACCACCGGGCTGGGGTCGGGGAGGGAGGACTCCGGGGGCCCGAGGGAACTACAGCTCTTTTCCTAGGAAAGTGGGCCCCCCCCCCTTGCTTGTACTCGCTGACAGGAGTGGGGTGGGGTGAGAAGGGGGTCGCTTTTGTTGCAGAAGGAAGGGGTACTCCCCCTCTGCGAATGACCCCACTTTATTGTTCTCTCCAGGCTCAGCTGACAGATTCCCTCCCCCATTGCTCCGAATGCACGGTCTTGGAGGCTCCCTCTTTCAGCTCCAGATTTAGGGTCCTTGTAAAGAGACCTCTTGCTAGGTGTTGTGTTTTTCTCCATGTGGGCAATCAATCAGTGGCAGCTTTCTTCACCGCTGGTGTTCCCCCCCCCCCCCATCTCCTCCCCTTAGCCAGGTGCTGCATCCCTGCTCTCCTGATTCTTTTGAGGCATTCATAAATTCTCATTTGGTTCCTTAGTTAAGAAGTGGCCTGGAGGGATCAGAGGTTAGAGCTGTCACCTGGGGTTAGAGTTGTCACCTGGAAGCATGGGAAGAGAGGTTCTTCTCTATGTGTTCCGGCCTTTGCCTACCTCAGATGAGACCACTGGGAGAAAAGAAGTTTGCCTGAATGAAGTCGTATTTACTTGTGTTAGGATTCATTCTTTGCTTTGTACTGGAGTTGATCAGAGGAGTTCCTTGATTAACTTAGTGGAGACAAGCCTTTATTTGAATCTGTATCTTTCTTTGAAGAGGGAACCCACTGAAAGACTCCAGCCTAATGGTATTATTGTGAATGTTTGTACTTCTGAGGAGAGACTAATTTGGATTTGTAAGAGAGCTAACTCCTTCCCTTCTTGTCAGGCCTCCAGCCTTATGATTTTACTTTAAAAGCTTGGGTTCCCCTCCAAAGGGATGAACTTGGTTTTGTTATAGAAGCAGTCCCCTTTTCCATGAACCTCTACCATCCCAATAACTCATATCAGTGGAGGGCAAAGTTGAGGTTTTTCTCCCCTTCCTTCTGCCATATCCTGCTTCAGTCTCTTGCAGTTTCTACAACCCCAGGGGCACGTGATAGATCCTCTGTCCTAGGAATTCTTCCCACTCCACCAGAATTGTAGGGTTCAGGGACTTCTACCCTGTGGTCCACAGGTGGGAGTCTGTGGCCTCCAGGCCACATGTGGCTTTTAGGTCCTTGGGAGTGGCCTTTTGACCAGTGCACGTTTTACAGAACAAATCCTTTTATTAAGGGGATTTGTTCTGTGAATTTTGGATTCAATCAAAGGGCTGCACTTGGAGGACCTAGAGGCTACAGGTTCCCCACCTTTGCTCTGGTCACATGGTTCATTTCTCTAAGGCTTGAGTTTAAGGCTTAAGGCTGGGTGGGGCCAGAAACTCTTAATGTCTAAGAATTTTGGTGGGAGGCCCCCACAAAGGTATGTGTGATGGTTGCAATACAGGTCTAGAAGGGAGGATGGCTTAGTTCCAAAATAGCACCAACCACATCATCTCCAATTGCTGAGTATGCTTTACTAGATTCTGAGAATATTCCCTACTAGTATGTCCCCCAGTTCTGAGTATGTCTATATTCTCCACATTATGATAAAATCCTAAACAAGCACGCAACATTTTTTTTTTTGAAGGCAATCAGGATTAAGTGACTTGTTCAGAGTTACACAGTAAGTGTCTGAGGTCACATTTGAACTCAGGTCTTCCTGATTCCAGGGTGGGAGCTCTCTTCACTGCACCACCTAGTGGTCCCAGATACTATTTAATACAGGAATTCTTAACTTTTTTTTGTCATAGACCCTTTTGTCAGTCTTTTGAAACTTATGAACCCCTTTTCAAAATAATGTTTTTAAATGCATAAAATAAAATACTTAGAATTACAAAGGAAACAAGTTACATTAAAATACAGTTATTAAACTATCATTATTAATAATATCTAACATTTGTAAGTACTCTAAGGTTTCTAAAGTGCTGTATATGTTTGATCCTCACAGTAACCCTAGTTTTTGGCAGGTGCTGTTATTCCTATTTTATGGATGAAGGAACTGAGGCTGAGAGGTTAAGTGACATATCCAGTGTCACACAACTAACAAGAACTAGTTCTAGGACCATAGATGAACTTTTCCTGTTTCTGTTTCATAAAATTGATCCAGATCAACTCTTTACATGTAGAGTAACAGTGTGGTTGTTGGGAAGTAACAGTTGCTATTCCTTGGCAGAGCAATACATACTAAATCATTTAGTGGGAAAACTGTTTTTAGTTTACTTGTTATGGACAAAAACAACACCAAGTTCAATTCATAATACAGGACTGCAATATAAAAAACAAAACAAAATGCTTAGGATAAGTGCTCCATACAACTGCTAATAAATTCCTCTTGGTTTGAAAATAGTGTAGAAAATTTTTGAACTCAGGTTCATAGAGATGATTTGGATACATTGATGCATGTTTCATTATAAACCTCTCTGTATTGCGTTTTTTCTCTTTCTTCCTGAGAATGAATAAATCTATTGAGAATTTGACGTTGGTTTATTGTTTTTGAAATGAAACACAGGAAAGAGAGTGTTGGTGGAAAGAGTGCTGAATGACTTAGCATACTTGGGCTTGACTCTAACTGTTGGCACTGGCTAAGTGATCCTTGACAAGTCATTTTGTTTTTCTTTTCCTCATTTTATTTCATATGTAAACTGGTGATAATAATACTTAGCTACCTATATTATAAGGTTTGGTTTTTTTTTAGGTAATTGGGGTTAAGTGACTTACCCAGGGTCACACAGCTAGTAAGTGTCAAGTGTTTTGGTCTGAGGTTGGATTTGAACTCAGGTCCTCCTGACTTCAGGGCTGGTGCTCTATCCATTGCGCCACCGAGCTGCCCCTTATTATAAGATTTTTGTGATGAAAGCACTTTATAAACCCCAAAGCTTTATCTAAATGTGAGTTATTATAATTATTATCAAATAAAAATTTAGATACTTTTTTTCCTAGTCTCCCTCTGGACAATAATTACTAAAGAAATATCACAAATAGGCAGGCAGTCCTGAAAAGTACCAAGAATTGAGTGAGTAAGCATAAATTTTCTCACAAAATGATTCTGTTTTTTTCCTCTATTCTGGAAATAGGTATTGTGAAAGCAGATATGGCTACAGAATCTCCACGAAGGCCCAGCCGATGTACTGGGGGAGTTGTGGTTCGTCCTCAAGCTGTAACGTAAGAAAATTTCAGAATAAGCCCATTGGCTAATGAAAACTTATACTGATTTGTATCTCTAGCCATGACCTGTATGAAAGTGGTTTCTCTTTTTCAGAGGCAGTGCTTAGTTTTGGAAGATCCTTTTTATTTTAGCCTTGTCAGATAAGTAAATCCCTTGAAAGAGAGGTATGGAGGGCCATTTATTCTACCTCAGCCGTAGATTGGGTCCACTACAAATTTATGTTCTCGTCTCTCGTCTGGAGCACTGCAATAAGGCAATCGTTTTATTCTTCCCTAATCAATTCTCTATCCCACTTGGAACTTTCTCTTCTTCAGGCCTCTCACATCACTTCCTTTCCCACCATTTTAATTGGGGACCTCACCTCATACTTTACTGAGAAAATTGAGGCCATTTACTGAGAGCTCCTCTCTACCTTCTTGACTATATCCCTGATATAGCTTCCTTCAAGGCTCTGATGAAGTTCCAAGGCTAATCCTTCTGCATATATCCTTGAACTCACTATAATCCACACTATTTCTAATCATCAATATCTCACTATCTTTTGACTCCTTCCCTACTGCCTATTAATATGACTATGTCTCACCTGTCCTTGAAAACCCTAACTTTCTCTTACTTTGCTTGCTGGTTAGATATCATCCTATATCTCTTTACCCCTTCTCCTCAAGCTCTTTGAGAAAGCTATCTTTATTAGGTGACTTTCCTTTCCTCTCATTAACTTCAAAGCATTCTGCAATATACAGAATTAAGTCAAAATGCTTTCTTCAAAGTTACAAAGTTTCGGTGATCTCTTATTTGCCAAATTTAATGGCTTTCTTTTTTAGTCTTTATTCATCATTATCTCTTTGCAGTATTTCACACTATTGACTATGTTCTCCTTTTGAAGATTCTCTCTCTGGGTTTTCATGACACTGTTCTCTTTTATTTCTCTTCCTTTTGGGTTGACTAATACTTCTCATTCTTTTTAGCTGTGTCATGTCCAGTAACTGTCACATCCCTTAGGTCTTTGTCCAGGGTTCCTATTTTTCCTCTATACTTGGTGATCTCTAGATCTCACATGGGTTCAATTATCATCTTTTGGCAAATGATTCCTAGATTTACATATTCATCCCTACTCTTTTCTAAGCTCTAGTCCTGTACTACCAACTGCCTATTGGACATTTTTTGGGGGGAGGGGTTAGGCAATGGGGTTAAGTGACTTGCCCAGGGTCACGTGGCTAGTAAGTGTCAAGTGTCTGAGGTTGCATTTGAACTCAGGTCCTTCTGACTCCAGGGACAATACTGTATCCACTGTGCCACCTAGCTGTCCCTCTATTGGACATTTTTAACTAGATATCCTATAGGCATCTCAGACTCAACATGTCTGAAAGAAAATTATCTTTCATCCAAACTTTTCCCTCATTTCAACTTTCCTATATTCTTTTTAAAAAAGAAATTTATTATTAATTTTTAATATTAATTTAAAAACAATTGAGTTTGAAATTCTCTCCCTCCCACCCATTGAGAAAGCAAGAAATATGATATGAATTATACATGTGAAATAATGTAAAACATATTTCTATATTTGCCATGTTGCAAAAAAAAAGTTGAGAAAAATAAAGAAAATGAAAAAAATACGCTTCATTTTGCACTCAGACTCCATCAATTCTTTCTCTGGAGGTAGAGAGCATTTTTTTCCTCGCAAGTCCTTCAGAATTGTCTTGGATTGTTGTATAGATCAGAGTAGCTAAGTCTTTCACAATTGATCATCCTTACAACATTGCTGTTACTGTGTACAATGTTTTCCTGTTTCTGCTCATTTCACTTTGCATCAGTTCATTTAAGTCTTTCAAGATTTTTCTGAAACTGTCCTGCTCATCATGTCTTATATCTGGGTATTCCCCTTGACTCTTGCCTCTCCCTCACCACCCCTATATCATTAATTGTCAAGTCTTTCTGATTCCACTTCCACAATAGATCATGATCATATACCACTTCCCTGTTACTCTTAAGAGCAGCACCATCCTTTCAGTTATCCAGGCTCAAAACTTTGGTGTCATCCTTCATTCCTTACTCTTTCGTTTTCTTATCTTACATATTTAGTCATTTGCCAGGTCTTGTCATTGCTAACTTTGAAATATTTCTTGAATATATCCCCTTCTTTCCACTCAAACAAATACCATCCTAGTACAGACCTTTATCCTCTTTTACCTGGACTGTTGCAATAGCTTTTTTATTGGTCTTTCTGCCTTAAGGCTCTCCTCATTCCAATCCATCTTCCACACAACTACAAAGTGAATTTTCTAAAGTATAGGGCTGACCACATGATTTTCCTACTCAATAAATTCCAGTGGTTCCCAATTACCTTATGGATCCAACATAAAATCCTTTGTTTAGCATTTGAAAACTTCATATACTGGACCCTTACTACTTTTCAGGCTTCCTGTATGTTACTCCTCTCCATAATCTCTTACTCTGCTATACTTGCTATTTCTCACTCATAGTCTCCTAACTCCTTGAGAAAGCCATCTTGGGGCTATGATCAAGATCTCTGAATGTCCTCTAACTATAAACTTCCTGTCCTTTTCCTGTCTTCTTACTTGCCTCCATGCCCTCTATATCCTCCCTTCTTTTTATATTCCCTGTCTCTGTTAAGAGTACTACATATCATCTTTTACAATTTGGGTATTTCCCTTGACTCTTGCCCCTCCCTCACTACCCCTGTATCATTAATTGTCAAGTCTTTCTGATTCTACTTCCACAATAGATCTCGTGCTCACAATATATCTATGCCCTTTTATCCAATCACACAGCCATCACTTTAGTTTAGATCTTCCTTGATTCTTCTCTAGATTATTGTAACTCTCTCCTAATTGGTCTCTGTCCCCCCAGTCTCTCCCCTGTCCAATCTATCTTCCAAATAGTTTCCAAATTGATAATCTTACAACTCTTTTATCACAGGTCTAACTATATCACTCTTCTGCTCAAGAAACTTTGGTGACTCCCAGTTGCTTCTAGCAAAATATACCATCTCCCCATTTTGTTATTTACAGCTTTTATAGTCTAGTTCTAACTTACTAGATGAGTCTTTCTGTTCTTGCTATTTCAATGTATGCTTTCCAGTCTATGCGTGCCTTCTTCCTTCATGCTTATGACAGATATTAATGAAATACCCTTTTGCTCCTTAATGTCAGTAAATTATTTGGATAATTTTAGTTCTTGTAATTTCTCTTTGTTGCACAAAGAAAAGCAAGGAAGTTTAAGGAAATTAGTTAATAATTCTGGAAAAAATGTAACATAGTGCTTTAAGTACAATTAATAATAGCTTTGGTCATTTTCTTTGATTATTTTTGCCTATAGCCAGCACTTGTAGGTTTTTGGGTGATTTTTTAAGATTGAGGATTATCTTTTTATAACAAATTTGTGTTGTTTGTGCTTTCTCTGCTGATACTCACATCCTTCCCTTTTTAAGTATCATTGCCAAGTTACATGTGTTACTTTGTGTCTCTTTTTAGACAAATCTTTCACACCTTTTAACCTTGCCGCACAGCCATGGGGCCTTAATGACTGTATTTCTACAACTTTACACTCTGCCCTGCAACAAAATATTGTTTCAAGTTTGGAGGGTAGAGTACTTAGTGTGGAGTCATCAGCATCATTTGTCTTAGGTCTAACTAGGGCATTATTTTGCTGGCTCAGAGGTAAACTTATTGCTTAAGTAAATCATTAGGGCTTCCATCAATACTGAGTTCTTTTCCATCATCTTTTTAAACAGAATCTGCAGGTATGGAAAAAATGACCTTATCAAGAGGAGAAGGCTAGAAATATGCCAGGAAAGAATTCTGAATATGTGTTCATATTGTTTTTTTTCTTTGTTGTTAAATTTTATTCCTAATAAAATTTTTTTAAAAGTTCCAGGCTCAGTTACATTCAAGCTTTTTAGGTTATATGAGACTAGAAAAATGAGTCTGTCCCAACTGGATAAGTTGAAGATAACTATGTGTTAGAAGTTGGACTCTTTTTATGTTGACTCACTCAGAACTTATAAACTGATCTTTTCCCATTATTTACACTCTTCTTTATTATCTTAAGCTTCCATGGTGATTTTTCTCCATTTTATTTCTTTTATCCCCCCCAGGGAGCAGTCTTATATGGAGAGTGTTGTGACTTTCCTTCAGGATGTTGTGCCACAGGTAAGCGACTCTCTGCGGCTCTGGAAATGTTTTTATTTTGCCTCATGTTGATGGGAAACGTTTTGCATCAGTTACCTTAGCCCATGTTGCAATAGGCTTTTGCTCTTTTCCTCTCCAGAGTTTCAGATGAAAGACTGTAGTTGTGACTATGCAGAGTTTGATCTATCTTGAGAGGAGGGTTTTGTTCTTAGTCTTTTGTTGGTGTGGAAGAGCCCAGTGGAGTAATATAAAGGCTCAGTGCCTCATGGGACAACTCTGCTTTAGGGGTTAGTTGGGCTGGGGGAACATGAGTCCCTGGCATTGGATCTTTTTCCCCAGTTCCACTCCCATAGTTTTTTCCTTCCATACCTCTATGTTCTGTGTTTGTAGAATGTGATGTGAATTTGTTGAACTGGAAATCAGACTTAAACACAAAGCTGCATCTATTTTTTTTTTTTTTTTTGCTTTTTGGTGAGGCAGTTGGGGTTAAGTGACTTGCCCAGGGTCACATGGCTAGTAAGTGTCAAGTGTCTGAAGCCAGATTTGAACTCAGGTCCTTCTGGCTCCAAGGCCAGAGCTCTGTCCATTGTGCCACCTAGCTGATCTTTGCATCTATTTTCTTGATGAATAGTGTTTTAAAGTTATACAAAAACCTAATTACCTCAACTTTTTTTTTCTTCTAGCTAGGTAGGCTTTTATATATCATTGTTTTTTCCCAGTAGAAGTAATAGAGGTTGGAATGCTTTTGAATAGTCTTTGCAAAATATCAGGTCTTATCAGTAGTAAAATGATTAGGATTTCCTGGATACATAAATTCTGATTCCACTTTGTTTTTACATTTCCTGTTATCAGTTTTACCTGACAGTCCCCTGGAGAGCCAGTACTCCTGGGACTTTCCTTCTTAGGCAGAACAGAGAGAATAAAAGCGGTCATGCTGTTGGTACTAGCTAACATTTATATAGTTCTTACTATGTACCAGACACTATGCTGAGCACTTTATAATTATTATCTTCTTTGATCCTCACCATAACCCTGAGAGGTAGGAATTATTATTAACCTCACTTTCACAGATGGAAATACTGAGGCAAACGCTGGCTAAGTGACTTGCCCAGGGTCACACAGCTAGTTAGTGTCTGAGAACAGATTTGAATTCCAGGCCTGGCTGGAATTCACCTGATCCTAGAATATATATACAAATTCCAGGCCTGGCTGGAATTCACCTGATCCTAGAATATATATACCAATATATATTCTAGAATTATCTCTGTAATGGAACTACTGAATTTAGGGAGGGGGCTTCATGACAGTGACTTTTTTCCTCCTGTTCCCATACCATCATGAAATCTGTTTGTTGAAAAAGGCCATTGGTGCCACACCAACTTTGAGGGACTTTTAAATAGTGTTAAAACTATTTATGATTGCTTTAAATAAACCACAATCATCATATAAGGGAAAGTACCAGTGGAAGATAATAAGAGTAAGAATGAAGTGGAAACAGAACTTATGTATCAGGAAATGTATCTCATTCCTTTTTTGTTGTCAGCAACCTCAATTAAGTATATACTGTTTGTAGGTAACAAAATACTATGCAAAAAGTAGTTCTGTATTAGAACAGAAAAAGCTAACAGTCTAATTAAGGAGATTAAATACATAAAATAACTGGAGAATATTAGCAGACTGTAAGTGAATAATTGCAAAATATCATAGAAGAAATTGCATACTAGCTTTGTGACTAAGGGCAAATTACTTAACCTCCCTCCAAGACAAGTTACATATGAGTTGTTGATTTGAATTAGTGGAGGGCGTTTCTGAAATGAGAAGACCCTGCACTGATGAATTCATTGTTTGGACATAAAAAAAAGTATGTAATTAAATAATGCCGTAATCAATCTCCAGTAAGTGCCCTGTAATTATAGATTGCCAAAACTGTATCAGTGGAAATTTCTCTACACTGATGAAATGACAAGTAGAATAAAAGTTATTCTTTACTTTGTCTTAATGTCTCCCTCCTCTCCCTTATTAGACTCTATGTAAATTGAGGGCAGGAACTGAAAGAGACTGGAGACAGGAAGAAGTATTAGGAGGTTATGTAAATAGTCCAGGCAAGATGTGATATGGGCTTTAACTACAGTGTTTATAGTAGGAATGGAAAGTGGGGGTCATATGACAGGAGAGAGATTATAGAGGTAGAATGAGTGGGAATTTATTGTCTGCGGTAGGGGTGAGGGAGACAGAAGAGATAAAATTGACTACAAGGTTTTGAGCCTGAGTGATGGTGATAATAACGGGAAAGGGGATGCTGAGAGAGGCAAGGTAGATTCTGATGGAAAGATAAGTTTGATTTTTGAAGAGAAATGGGAAGCATTGGGGCAAAGGTATATAACAAGAGAAAATTAGTTTGACACTAGAAGCAGAAAATACCAAATTATGTATTTGGGATAGCAAGGAGATTCATTTGGTTAGAGCAGAGCAATTGCATTGGTAATCTAACTAATAAGAGAGGTGGAAAAGAGGACAAACTTGAATTAGTTGGTAGAATTTAGAGTTGTTGTGCTAGGTATCCTCAACAAGAGTCTTCAGAAGTGATAGGCTTTGCAATATGTCCAGGAATAAAAGAAGTGGATGAAAAATATATATTATCTAGATTTTGGTATGTAGTTTGATGGCCAGCTCTTTAAATGTTAATGCTGTCAATTCATCTATCTCGGATAGGCCCTGGAAGTGAATGTAAAATAGAAGAGAGGACACTGGATTGTATTTTTGGGAACTTTCGGCAATTGTGCAATGCTTTTGTTATTCCTATCTGTTTTTTTCCACAAAGAAAGCCTGTCTTTTAAATACAAGTCTTTTCAAGGTCATGTGAATGTCGCCACAAATCATGAGCTAGCATGATCTGAGAAGAACCAGTATTTGAGGTAATCAAAATGGCAATGGGAAAGTCCATGGTGGGTGTACTTAGGTTGTAACAAATGATGTACTCTTACTTGAGTTGGAAATGTAAAGGTGAAAGAAACTAAATTCATTTTAGTTCAATAAACATTAAGTTCCTACTATGTGCTAGTTACTGTGTTGTGTGCTGTGGTTACAAAGTTAAACAAAAGAAACACTTTCTGCCCTCAAAGAGTGTATGTTCTATTGGGAGAAAACCACAGGGACACAGATAAGTAGACACAGTTTGTACAGAGTGAATGCAAAATAATTTATTGGAGTTTCAGGGGGAGAACACTAACAATTGGGGGCATTGAAAAATGTCTCAGATAGGAGGTAGCATTTGAACTGATGAGCTGAGCTTTTAAGGTAACTATGGATTCCTCGAAGCAGAAGAAAGGAGGTATTGTATTATAGCATTTTATTACTTTTTAAAAGCATTTTCAAAAATTTATTTGTTTTTAACATTTTAAAAAAAAATTTGAAATCCAAATTCTCTCCCTCCCTCCCTCCCTCTCTTACTCATTGAGAAGGTAAGCAATATTATATCAGTTATACATATGAAATCATGCAAAACATATTTCTGCATTAGCAATGTTACAAAAAAGAAGAAACAAGGCAAGATTTAAAAATAAAGTGAAAAAATTATACTTGAGTTTGCACTCAATTCATCAGTTTTCTCTTTGGTGGTGGAGAGCATTTTTCATCATGGGTCCTTTGGAATTGTCTTGGGTTATTGTCTTGATCACAGTAGTTAAGTCTTTCATCCTTAGAATATTGCTGTGACTGTGTACAATGTTCTGATGGTTCTGCTCACTTCACTTTGCATCAGTCCATATAAGTCTTCCCAGGTTTTTCTGAAACCATCCTGCTCATCATTTCTTATAGCACAATAGTATTCCATCACAACCATATGCCACAACTTTTATTTTTATTATTTTTTTTTGCTTTTTGGAGAGGTAGTTAGGATTAAGTGACTTGCCCAGGGTCACACAGCTAGTAAGTGTCAAATGTCTGGCACCAGATTTGAACTCAGGTCCTCCTGACTCCAAGGCCAGAGCTCTGTCCATTGTGCCACCTAGCTGCCCCAGTAAAGTCACTTTTTTGGGGGGTGAGTTGATTGGGGTTCAGTGATTTGCCCAGAGTCACACAGCTAGTGAGTGTTATGTGTCTGAGACTGGATTTGAACTCAGGTCCTCCTGACTCCAGGGCCATTGTTCTCTCCATTGTGCCACCTCACTGCCCCATACCACAACTTTTTTAGCCATTTTCTTTGATGAGAATTCTCTGAGTTTCCAGTTCTTTGCCATCACAGAAAGAGCTGTTAAAAATATTTTTGCACCTATTCCTATTAAAAACACCAGAGAACATAGGAGTAAATGAAGTCTTCCTTAAAATAATAAATAACATCTACTTAAAACCTTCAGCAAGCATCATATGTAATGGGGACAAACTAGAAGCATTTCCAACAAGATCCTGGGTGAAACAAGGATGTACATTATCACCACTGTTGTTCAATATCATACTGGAAATGTCAGCTTTAGCAATAAGAGAAGAAAAAGAAATTGAAGGTATTAGAATAGGCAAAGAAGAAACAAAGCTATAATTCTTTGCAGATGATATGATGATATACTCAGAGAATCCTAGAGAATCAAGTAAAAAACTACTTGAAATAAAAAACAACTTTAGCAAAGTTGCAGGCTGTAAAATAAACCCACATAAATCATCAGCATTTCTATATATTACTAACAAAGCCCAACCCCACGAGATAGAAAGAGAAATTCTATTTAAAGTTACTATGGACATTATAAAATATTTAGGAGTCTACCCATTGAAACAAACCCAGGAACTATATGAACACAATTATAAACACTTTTCGCACAAATAAAGTCAGGTCTAAATAATTGGAAAAACATCAGTTGCTCATGAGTAGGTTCAGCTAATATAATAAAAATGACAATTCTACCTAAGCTAATTTACTTATTCAGTACCATACCAGTCAAACTACCAAAAAATTATTTTATAGAGTTAGAAAAAATAATAATGAGATTCATTTGGAATGACAAAAGGTCTAGAATTTTAAGGGAACTAAT